ATCTAATATAAATAATAATATTATCTACGCTTTTGCAAGACGTTAATGAGTCCGTATCGGCTCCAGATGTGTGACCTTGTCTTTTAAGTCGCGGTATTACTTCCCGTTACGGTAACGAATTTTAATAGTGAGTTTTTTTTTCATTTTTTCATTTCTTTCTTATTTATCATGGACTTCATTGAAAACTACAAATTCGGTTTTCACAAAAATTTATCAGAAGGTATTGCGTGACGGAAGTATGACGGAACAAAATGGTACACCTGACAACTGCGTATAATAACATTACCATATCATATATTATCAATTATAGCAGTGTAGCCAGAAACTAATATCGTAAGAAGATTAGAGATCCTTTCGTTCAACTAAACGAAATCAAATTTATTTAAAGTACTTGAAAAATATTTGTTTGGAGTAATTTATAGGGTAGAGGCAAAGAGTTCTGACACACTTGCCACCTTCATTCCTGTCACTGACAATTTATCTGCAATCCTGCAACCGTGTTGAATATCATAACCTTAAAATTAAAATGTGAAAAGAAAAAAAATCTATTCGATCATCTTTCCGAAATTTTTACAATATAGCTATTTAAAAAAATAACATTGATGGAAATACCATTTAAATTGGAGTTTTATAAAATTTACCTTACACCGTGATCAATAATAATAATAATAATAATATAAGAAAAAAATGATTTCGAGGGCGAGTTTCGGTGATGAAATAGGAGACGGTAGTTAAAAAAAAAAAGTCATTCAATTCTGTCGTTGTGGGCACTTAAACGACGACGTTTGGCGTCTACTGGGGGCGGAGGCTTTTTCTAGCCGAGGTCAATACGGGTATTATAATATTGTTATTATGTTGAAAGAGAATACGAGACGACGACCGTAATAATTTTCCATTCTTTTACAATAATAATCTCCTGGTGGGAATATTATTTATTATTATCCATGTAACGAGCGATACGTATCTATATACTATATGAAAATGATGCAGTTTTTCAACTCGCTGGACCATTTTTTCTCTCTCCCGTCATTGACGTTTTCCGTAAATGTTTAAATAAGAATACTTATATTAGAATGCGTTTGTGAACATTTTATTTGTCCTGTGAAAATACTGTGTAAGCTATAAGGAGACAATGTATATTAATTGTGTAGCCACTACAACAATAATGGACACTGAACGTTAATATAACGGCGATCGTTTATTGATTATGGTTTTGCATAATATTATTATTTCGTTTGATACTGTGCACGAGCGAGGCCATGCGGAATCGGTGTTATATATATAAAGACGTGTATTCGATAAATTAGTGATCGTTGACAATTTTTTAAAAACTTCCGAAATTTTGAATTCTCGATTGTTTTTGTGTCACAACGTTTTTAGTCGCTTCGTAAAACCGCAGTAAACCTCAACATTTTATCGACAGTCGACACTCCATCGCGATTGATGCGAAGGGCTCGTTTTCACATCGCGAACGGTTAAAAGCGCAATTCTCCAAATATCGCGGGTCGGATCTGCAGGGCGCGACACTCGAATGTTGTGCACGCGTTTACTACCGAGGAAAAATAAACACAATGGTTGTCCTTTTTGCGGCGGGCCCGTACTAACAATCCGATAAATAATTGACCGGGAGCAAAAGTATGAACCGACTCGGTATTGTTACTGCACCGTGCCTACGGCGAAATTTCACAGTCATAGATAAACACAATCAGTCGTATCACAATAATAATATTTTTATCGCAATATCGCACGGTATTTATTTTGACGGAGAAGCATATGATACCAGTATTACCAGCTTACCAGTATCGCATATTTTATATACTATAAAATAATATTTATTGCTTTGACAAGAAACGCACAGCTTTATCTTTACGCTACTGCGTGCTGCTATTTTCGTGTTGAGTCACACGGTTCCAGGCGAAAATTCGATGAAAAAAAAAAAAAAAAAAATACAAGGATTAGCATAATAAAGAAAAAACAAAAAAAAAGGTCGATACTGTTAATGGGTGCACCAATGTTTTGGAGGTGAGTCGGGAGGGAGGATATTATTTAGAGTAGTTTTAATGTACATTAAGAATCTGTACGCGTAACGAAAAACCATTGCTAACGAAACACGATATTCCGAGTAGAGTATTATTAGTTAAACTTTTTTCATTTTTTTCCTATATCCAACAAAAATTTGTTTGACAATATGTACTATCCGTGTGCCGCGTCTGCAGCACCGCCGAACGAATGACGTTCCACTAAAACTTTCCACCTACACAGACCTAAAAGTGGAATAAATTCGTCGACGGGTTGACGTAATCGAAATTTTCAGCACACTCATAAATATCGTTTAAACTAATACTCCGTATATTATTAATCAATATGGTATACTTGTGCACGTGTCGCGCGGCAAAAACGGGCATAGGTGTACAAAAAGTACGCCGTGACGATAATAATAATATGACGTGCCTAAAAAAAAAAATTAAAAAAGTCTCGTGCTCGGTTTAACGAACGGGGATTACGACGACGACGAGTTGCCGTAGCAGCACGGCGGACGGATAACGTTTACGGCGGAGAGTTGATCTCGGCGGAAAACACAACACCGCCGTCGTCGTCGGGCACACGTGTCGTGAATTACCGACATCATATTATATAAATCCGACGAAGGTTCTCGCCGTCGTCCGCGCGCACTGCCGAGGTCGAATTTAATACTCGCTTCTTAATAATATTATTATTTTCTCGTACGTAATAATAATAATATTGTTGTCGTACACGTTTTATCACCCCCGCCGCCGTCGACGGCGACGCCGCTGACAAACGACCGCGTCACGCGCGGTATATCCGATATCTCTCGCGGTTTTAACCGTGATTTAAAGCGTTCGCTTCGCGGACGTTGTAATAATTATCGCGTGTACACCCTCCGCGTTGATAATAATAATCATAATAACAATAACTATAATTTAACGCGGCGGCCGGCCGACCGCGCGCGGTCGGCGGGAGGCCGCGGCGGGCGTAAGAGAATAATAATACAAAATACGGTGGCGGCGGCAGCGCCCGGCGAACGATTTATTTCCGCGGTTGTCTTATCTGCCGGCCGGCCGGCCACGAAAAAAGAAATGCCGCACACGCGTCGTATTATTTGTACGTAACGCACACGGGAAAACGCGCGAAACGCTGCAGGTCAGCGTTTTTACAGTATAGACAAAAGGCGGTCGCCGTTTGTCAGGTATACACCACGATACCACGGTACAGCTAGGTGTGTTATCGGCCGTCCGTGGCCGCAAAGTCGTCGTCGTCGGGTCCGCCGTCGTAACACCGCGCACGGTCCATCCGCCTTTCCGTATCCCCGCGTAAAGCCGGGCCGATTCGCCGTCCTAGATTTAATGGCACGTTCCGGGGTGGCGGTTAGACGATATTGGATCTTGTATGCGGTAGAGAATGAGAAAAATTTGTTCCGACAGGAAATCATTTTTTTTTTTCAATATCTGAGTGAAAACGCCGTTCGAAAACCGTTCACGCCTTGAAAATATCGTGCAGATTTTTTACGGGTGGCCGCGGCGGTACTTTATTCGAACCGTTTCTATTGTCCCCCGACATCGCGGACGGAATTTATTTTTATATAGTCCTTAACGTCAACATTTTTCGCCGGTAGCGGTTTTTTATTTTTTTTATCAACGGAACACTGCGATTGGTTGTACAGGAGATCATGTTTGATTTTAATTCGATTTTCCTAATCAGCAATTGATTTTTGAGAATTATATCGACTTCTCCTCGTAGTTTTCTTGAAAAATAAACGGCTGCAATAGCCGAAGAACGCATCAATTGCGTATACAAAATCGATAAAAGGAATTCCCGTTCTGTACCGATGAAAACATATTATATATAAACATTATAATGCGCATCGTAGAGAACTCCTAGGTATAAGGAAAAAAAAGGCCGGAAGATAAAAAGGAGACTATAATATTATTGTGTCAGCACGGCCGGCTGCAAGATACTCGGATTTTCCGATTTTCGACTTTTTTTTTTTTTTCCATCCTCGCTTCAAAAGACTTGCATTATGTTTACACGTATACTATTAATACCGGGCGCGGATTTAAAGGGTAGAAAAACGGATGCTCGTGGCTTTGTAAACTGTCACACGACCCGCATCGTGCAGCGGAACAATATTAAAAAATAAATGTATTATAAATATTTATAAAAATCGAAATTTTTCTATATCTACTTAGATAGGTACAAAAAAGAAAACGGCGAAAAAAATTCAATACAAGTACACGATTTTAATATTATATATTCGGAGTTTTGGGAACCGGGTAGGTTATTGTTATGTTTTACGCATTTAGATTGTACAGGTTTTACAATCACGTTCGTGGTTTTTTTTTTTATTAAAAACCGCTTTTCGCATATTACTCCGGGCGATTTTACAGACAATAAGTTAGATAAGCAATTTTTCAAATATACATTAACAGCCGTTTTCTATTATACAAAAAGCTGAGAAGAAAAAAAAAAAGAAATGTATGGAGGAGGAGTTAAAAAAATAATAATAATACGGATTTCTTCGTTCACTATAATATTAATAATATGGTACTTTAATCGTGTATTGTAATCGTTTTTCGACTATAATAATTGCATATGATTTTTAACTGAAATCGTGTTATTTCCGGTTTTAAAATAAACACCGTCATGAACTTATACAATAGTTCTGAAATTATATCTAAAGACTAAAATAATCGAAATCTCACTCAAAAAATATTAATATTACAGTAGAACCTCCATTATCCGAACTAATTAGTACTACACCGAGTTCCGATAATAGAAATTTAAAAAAAAATATTATTTGTACAATGAATATAGAATTACGATTACATATTGTCGATTTATTAAACTTATTACACATGACTGATTATGTCAATACTTGTTACGAATACAAGAATATTATTAAATATTATAGACTTATTATAATGTGTGTATAATTATTTGTTTTTGGCAAACTGATAAATAGACGAATCGCTGCTACGCGCTTTTGCGCAGCTAAATCTCGCAAACATTCGGTTAAAATAACGTTCGGATATATGAATTGAGACGAAATAACGTTCGGATAATAAAGGGTTCGTATACCGGAGGTTAGGATAATCGAAGGTCTACTGTATTATTAAACAATATTATGTAGTAAATCTCGCTTAAGACGCTCCCGCTTAAGACGCTCCCGCTTAAGACGTTTTCTTGCATAAGACGCTGTTTTCCGTCGGTCCCTAGATATTTTCTGTACTAGTCACTGTAAAAATCACCTGTTTAGACGCTCGGTTTTTCTCTATCTAATCGGATGAGACGTTCTTTTGTTAAGCAGATTACGATAAATTTTAGTAGTTGTGTGAAAATAAAAATTGAAACACCCATCAAAAATTCGAAAAGGAATCAAAAACTTTTGTTTTAAAAAAAAAAAATATTTACCAAATTATTATTAAGTTGTACATTGAAACGTGTTAGTAATACTAATATTACTGTATGTCTAGATTAATAATGACTATATTATTATTTTGGCTTATTGGCAAAATAATATCGGCATTACCGACGTTTAGCAAAATCGTGATATAAATGTCGACATTCAATAGTGAATATTTACATATAGTACAGATTTAATCAATATGTAAACAATTACTAATTACTTTGGTGTATGTATACATTAACCGGTGACTGTTAGCATTTATCAACAGCGGACATTTACAGTAGCATAAATATATTAATATTATCAGCAGTAGCGTGTTTAAGATTCTACATGGAAGGAGATATTGTATTTAGACATTTAGAAACCGGCTAAATAAAAAATGTTAATTTTTATATTTCAATCTGCCTTAAATATATGTTGGAAATAATATTATTAGGTACTATTGTATTAGTAAAATCACTAAATACTATATTAGTTAATTTTCTATTATTTAGGTTTTATTTTAAAAAAATAAAACGTTTGCCTACGTTTAGGTTTTTTGATACATTAACTATATAGCTATGTACCAATAATACAGACTTGATTTTTTTTAAATTTGAATTAGAAAAATAAATATTCGTATAAATAAATATTATATATTTAAAAAGCAAAAAAGGGTAATCTCAAAAAGAATACTATGTAAAATTCTAAAAATAAATGTCTAAAATAAAAAGTGTTCCACAAACTGCTTTGATAACATTTTCTCAGTTTCTCTTTCTCCATTCCCTATATTTCCCTATTTTCTCTCAATTTTTACGCTTAACTATTTTATTCGTTTTACCACGAATTCGCTATTATAAAATGCTTGGCGGATGTTTTTGGAGACTTACTTTCACAGCATGAAGCGCTGGATCTCCATGCAACGAAAATAAAACAAATGGAGGAGGGGAAAGGAAATAATTTCAATCTTTAAAAACTGCCGCGAAATATTTAATAGCAATTTCATGGTAAAACAGGTACAAAGGTAAGATATAAGAATAAGGAAGGAAATATAGAGAAATGAAAGAAAGGGAACTGAAAAAATTAAAATCTTGAAAAATGTTTTTCTCAAAGCAATTTTTTGAAGAGCATTTTTTTAGAAAGTATATGACATCGTTTTCTTGTTAAGCTTGGCTTTTTTTTTCACTTTTTAAGTATTTCTCGGGAGGTAATTTGTTTTATAGTGAAGATTATTTTAACTATGGGGCACCTAGTGAAGATATTTTTAAAGATAATATGCATAACTTATTTAGATATCTTAGTACTTTTTCGTGATTTGCAGGAATAATTAGCTATTGTATTGTATTTATTGCCGTAATTTGAATAAATTTATCAAATAAATTAATAATAAAATAAATTATGTACTTCGTTCGATTCAATGCTCAAGGGAATGGAAAAAAAAACTGTTAATATTCGAAAGGAAAGTACTACGGATAATATATAGACGTCCACATAAATTCTAAATGGAGAATCCTACAGAATGAGAAATGTGGACTAAAAAAAGACGTCTTAAAATAATGAGTACGGGTGGAGCCACTGTTATAGATAATTTAATGTACACCTGTAAGCAACGATAAAGCATTATTTACGAAAAAAACGATTCTGAACAGATTTAGTTAAAAGTGAGCTTTGTCAACAATATTTATGCCATATTATAATAAAAAAATTAAATAGGCTTTATATATTTTCTTTAATAATGTTTGTTTAATGTTGTACCGACTTTCCCGGTATTCTTACGTTTTTCCCTGTTTTCCCATGTTTTGACAATTGCTGGGAAAACAACAGAGAAAATCGAAAAACGGCCTCTCTAAAGTACTTCGCCAGTCGGATTTCCTTTTAGAAATATTGTTGTTACTGTAAATTGGAGCAAAATTAGAAGTAGAAAAGTAGAAAAGTCGTGCACAGAAAAAATAAAGATGTTTATACCATAATACCATAATAGCTTTATTGTTCTACTTTTTTTTTATCAAAAAAACTTCATTTCAAACCAAACATTGAAAAATAACTCAAGGTAAGGCTATATGTGTGTTAGTTGATCATAGTGTTTGGAGTGCTGACGGACACCTTATTTGAAATAGACTAATGAAGAACCTAACCGAAAAAAAATCGCCCAATCGGGGATGGGGCACCGTTAACGATAAAATCGTCAAAAATGTAAGAAAATTGGACGATGGCGTAATGATGGACAATGAAATCGTGATGGATTGAGAAGCTCGGTAAAAAAGTGCAAATAGACATTAAAGGCCAGTTCAGCACAAAAAAAAAAAAAATAAAAAAATACATTCAATATTTTATAATATTTGATTTGCCGTTTTCCAGTAGATTTCCGGATATTAGAGCGTCGAACATGTTTCGTAGTTTTCATGCTTTTTTTTAATTATTTTTTTTTATATATACTAGTATATTTGGGTTTGGTCAGGTTATATTTGGATATAATCATTCTAATTAAATTATATTTCTACCGCGTTTGCGAAGGCAGCTCGAAATTAAATTTGCCAGTTGCTGATAATGGTTTTGATTTTAGTGAATTTCCAGCGAAATAATATCTAATGTGTGGGTACAATATTAATAAGTGCGTAAGTACATTCAATATGCATATTCATATATGGTATAAACATATTTTCCGTATTTTGTTATAATTTTACGATAACTCTACGAACATCGAAAACCATATTTTTTATGTTGACTGTATATTAACTGTATATTATTTACCATGTGTTAACCGTGCGGAAATAATGCGTAATATCATAAATTCCAAATAAATATTTTAAGTCCTAGACAGAATTGGGTTGTAGAAGTCTAGAGAGGGAGAGAATCTGCTCACAAGGCAAAGAGGGCAACATGTTTTGTCTCGTTTTTATTCTTTATTGATTTTTTTTTTTTTTTATAATTTAAAGTGTAATGATAAAGCTGTTTCATTTTTTCTAGGATGTGTAATTTTTTTTTTTTTTGGGAAACACTTTTTTGGTTGGTAAAACCACTCCGAATTTTTCATCTTATATAAAGCCTTATAGAAGACGGTGATTTTTCGCTTGAAGTCATTTCATTTGAAATATTTATCGATATTTTTAGAAATTCACCCCTTAGGTTCTTTTTATTTTGTTTAAAATTACTGAAAAATACTGAATTGTATATAATAAATTAAAATTTAAAAAAAAATTGTTTTGGAGCAAAAGGTTCTTCTATGTATAATCTATATAACCGCGATCCGATTTGTACATATTTTAATGAAAAATTAGACTTTTTTTTTTTTTATAAGCGCAACGTTATTGTTGTATTATTTTATAGAAAAGTATAAGGAAAAAAAAGCAATTTAACTTTGGTATACTTACTATACGTTTAGTCAATTTAAATTAAACTGCAGTTTTAACTTGCGAATATCGGTAATGGAATTCGATTATATCTAACTCCCATAACCCCATATCTCCCTCACCGATATCGTTTGAACGCTTTCTCGTTGCAGAATTCCGGTCAAGGTTTGTATAGTATACGTATAGAAGAATGTTATGTTTTTCTTCGAAAGGTAAACACACGTCATATTGTAAAGTATTTTAGAGAAAGTTTTGGGCGTTGGCGATGTGCTTGAAAAACGATAAGAGATATGAGCAGCTTTAAGCTGCTTCTATGAACTATAACGCAGGTATAAAAGGTTAGACAGTGGGTACCTATCTAATAATATAAGAGTAGGCGTAAAACAATAAAACAACGGCCGACGTTCGCGTGACCGTTGATTGCCGAGCAAATTAAATTCTCCTTGTTCGGATTTTTTCTTTTTTTAATAAAACTAATTCAAGAAAAAAAAGACTCTTTAAATATTTTTGTTACGGCTTAACAAAACTATTATATCCGGGTTCAAAACGGCTTTTTTCATTTTTGTCTTGACGGGGGGGAGAGGGGGGTAATAAAAAGCTACCCTCCATTTTCGCGGACAAAGACAAAAAAAAAAAAAACAATTATTACGTCATACAAAATTAAGAAGTCATAAAATGTATAGAATATTATTATTATATTAATTATTAACATTCAAAGAAAGCCAAGTACATACTCACGAATCCTACCATAATAATGCAGAAATTCACATTATGTATTATGCGAATTTTATACTTTTTAATAATAGTCATTATAATTAACCACAAATTCGTATAATAGTATTCAAAACCGTCTAATTAATATCATTATAATGTCGTACAGAAATTGAATTCTTAAATCCGAAAACCATGTAGTGCAGGTGATTATTTAGGAGCACAATAATTATATAATTTGTTTTCATATTCATCGAGGTGATGAATTATAATTAGAGCGAGTGCCTGATTTAAGCGATTACCTTATATTTTTTAATCGATGCAAATAAAAGGTTGATACTAAAAATGGTTGAGCCACTGTCACAGAAGGGAAGCTGGGGAAGACGATAATTATTATGTTGTAAAGAGTAATTTAATTTACACTTGTACGCAACCATAGACCATTCATAATGAAAAACGATTGTGAATAGATTAATCTATTTAATTTGTATTTTTTTCACTCGGTGTTCAGATAACCACAAAAATTAACAAAAGGAAGTTCAAAAACTGACCTCTATGTTATAAAAAAAATTCTTTCAGTGTTTTTGATTTACTTGCTTCGCTCAGAATCTAAAATCTCTAATAGATAGTATTTTAAATAAAAATATACGTACTTAATATTTTTAACAAATACATTTATATTGTATACATGGGATTTTTTTTTTTTAATAATGATTGAGTTGTTAACAATGATGCAATGAAGCTAATTTTTGTTTGACCTACGTTCTCGGTCAATTCAATTGTCAATGAAGCACTGCGGGAGTC